TTGCCAATCGTCTGAGCATTTGAAGCACGGGCATTCATACAGTTCCTTGCAGCAATGGAGTTGTGTGCACTTCAGTTGGGCTCCCCAAAAAGACCAGAAGATAGGTGAACCTGGCAGATTTGGAGGTGACAAACACCCTGCCGCAACTAGGCCATTGTGCTGTTAGCTGTCTGCATGTATTGCATTACCCCCCAGCCCAGCCTGTTTGTCTGGAAACATACCCGGGAAGGGTGCGGGGTTACCTACCAATGTCTCACAACGTGTCTGCCAGCAGGTGTGGACCAGAGCTCCGTTCATCTTGTAGTCCAGCCCAGTCACCCCGCCGAGTTGCCCAGCTGGTTTGCGTCGGCCTGTGAGATAGAAAACAAAGACATTTCATCAGGTTTAGCTTGAAGGGCAGTGAGGAAAACAAAGTGAAGGCTGCTGTGGAACCGCCAGACCTGCTGCTGGAGCTTGGGGCCCCGGGGTCAGACAGACCTGTATAAAAACTGCTCAGCATCCTTCTTGGAGACTGGCCTTACTCCTATTGTTGCAATTAAATACCCAGTTATAAGAAAACTGATGGGTCACCATGTTCACCCACTGGTCACACTCCCACAGGGAGGAGATGCAGAAACTGAATCCCAAAGGATCTGTGGTGTAGGTTGATCCCAAGGGGTGGTAGCCCTGGGTGTGCTGTAAAAATAGGAGAGCTGAGGGACCCCATCCCAGAGAGACGAAGGCTTGAGGCCAAAGCCCCAAAGAGACTGACTGCGCATAGATGACACACAAAGAGATGGAGATGAAACTATCCGTGAGCCACGAAAGACAGCTCAGCTCTTCTGTTACTGTGAACAGGAGCATTCACATCAGGTGCCAAAGGGAAAAGCAAAAATGGGCAGGAAAAGCAGCTTCTAGGGAGGTGTCACCAACAAGAGAGAATAAACCATGAATGCAGACAGATAGCAAGGAGCTCATCTGTCACGTCTGTGACAATGCTGAAACAGGAAACTGGCTGGGACGAGATCCAGACCTTCCTCCTGCGAGCTGTATTTTTTCCTCCTTAAAGACCATACGACATCCCCGCTTCCATGCACGTGGCATTTGTGCCGGCACGTGGCTGCGCACTTCGGGGGGCTTCTTGCACGGGATCTATTACAGCCTCGTTCCAGAAACTCTGCCACAATAACAATATATTTTTGTTTGCGGCTCTGTTTTTCTCCCACTCAATGCTGTGGCCTGATACACCCTCATAAAACAAGCAGGGCTGCTTAAGGAAGAAGTTAGGGCCGCGCTTTGCTTTTAAAAAATTCCTCCTTCCTTTTAAGGTTGAGGGTTTTTGTTTCTTGTTAAAGAAGTGAATGCTCAAATGGAGCCATAAACTCCTTTATTTGTTTGCTTATCCAAAGCCCAATTACACCTGGGAGAAACAAGCTTGAAACGTTAGACAGAAATATTTAGTAGTATATAAGCAAACAAAGCCTTAGTCTTCCAGCACATGTGCAGAGAAGGGGAAAAAATCCTTCTGGCAGCCTCTCTCCTTGTGAACTTGATCGTACCAAAATTGCCCAGGTGACCCCTTCCTTTGTATGGTGCATAAAAGAGGTTTCTGATGGGCGCTGGATAGCTCATGGGGAGGGGTAATAGATGACAGGGCCATTCACTCTTAGGTCATTGGCTTGAATCTAACAACTGTTCAGCAGCCAAGGTGAAGGGGTCGGTGCGGTTTGTCACTGAGAAGGATGAGGAGGTCTCCCCCTGGTTGCTCAAGGGCAGGTGTCCCTAATTAGCATGAACCAGCAGTCTCTGGAGCCAGGGCAAGGACAGGAAGGACACAAGGAGCTTCCTCTGCTTCATGTCATGGCACAAATCACATGGAGGATGATGAACTGCTGCTGCCTGCTCCATGTCTTTGGGGGCTGAGGACTTCTGGAGCAGCCGCGTGTGATGGAGACGGGACATGGGGAGGCCCAGCGTTTAGCTGTTAACTCCTGCTGCTTCTTTCCCCTCCGGACGACTGCTGCCGTGGTCCGATCATTGCAGCTGCAGAGAAGTTAGGCAGCTGGGCTCTACCCCGACTCTCTGCCGCTATGATCAAGTCACTCGGTCTGTCAGTAACTGGAGTCATGTCAACTCAACTTCGCCGGCTGAAAAAGTACCTCTTGTATTTGACAAGCATTTCACCTGTGGATGAAAAGTGCCCAATTTTATTTGATGACCCTGGAATGAGCCATATGAGATCAGTGCTCTGGGGATGTTTGAAGGAGCCGTTTTTCTGATCAAGCAATTTTCAGTTCAGTTCCTACGTATTTCTTTTTTATTCTTCAGCACTCTAGCTCCACTTGAATCGGCTTTCTCAGCATTTCAGTGGGGCTTATGCTATATTCTATAAGATTTAACAGCCTCATTTTCCAAGGTAATATAAAAATGCTTTATTTTTATGACACAACAGGGAGAATTTTTCATTTGGGAAACCGATGCCTTGTTTGTTACCATGGCACTGTATTTTTATATAAACTTAATTTTTTTATATAAGTTTAATACAGTTTTGATCTTCTCTTTTTTTTCCCCCCACGAAAAATAAATAAAAGGATCGGAGAGGTAATTGTGTGGATGCCTCTGATAAAATGAATGTAGGGATCGGCTAAAGATACAGAATCAAAACAAAAAGAGAATAAGAAAAAGCAAACCCATCTTGATATTTATCTACCCCAGAGTGTGTTGTTCTTATATTTAAATATCGTTCATCATCACATTATACGGATGACTTATGAATTAGCACCCGCTGGATGCCTGCACAGCCTGGAGCGCTGGCAGCGTGACCCCTGCAGTGATGGGCACTGCCTGCAGCCCAGACCACCGGGGCCAGGGGAAGCCAGGCTGAGACCTTCCCCAGCGAAAGCGCTGGTGCTGGTGCTACTCGAGGGGGCAGTGGTCCCCACGGCCTCCAGGAGAGGGCGGCCTCCGCACGGAGACGAAACAGGCCTGGCTGTGAGCACAGAGCTACTGCAAACAGAGCTCCAAGCACTGGAACTGCACACAAGAGCTTGGGCCCAGCAGCTGGAGGGGTCAGAGCTGGGGTGCCCGGACCCCCCACCTGGGGCAGCACAGCGGCAGCCCACACCCCAGCTGCAGGCCTGCAGCCCCTGTGACACCCCCAAATTCAGGTGCAATTGCAGGGGGAAACAGCTTCAGCTCAGCACCAACATCCGCCCCGCCAGCTAGCCAAGCCCTAGTGTGTTGGGCAGACTGGCATAATCCCACCCCAACACCCTGCCCCCCAGCCCCAATATCCCCTGCAAACCCCTCACCCAGCCCCAGGTGGGCCTCAAGCATTCCCCCCCAGTCAAACCCACAGGCCCAGATCCATAGGGGCCCTACTCCCCTGCTCCAAAGTCCCCATTCAGTTCTAGTTTGGGGGGCACGGGGGTGCTCCATTCTCTGCTCAGCACCCCAGTACAGCCAAGTCATTGGTGGGGGGGGGCCACATTCCTTACCTAGCCCCAGACAGGCTGTGTGCACATCCCCCCCCACCCTGACCCCCAAACTCCCAGCCAAGCAGGGGAGCTTCTGTGGGTGGGCAGGAGTGGGGGGCATATCCCCTGCCCAGGAGCACCCCACTCCATGCCCAGCCTTCATCCAAGCCCAGAGAGAGAGGACCCCTGTCCCCCACCTGCAGGTTCAGCTCTACTTTGTCACTGGGGGTGGCAGGGGGGCAACGTCCCCTGTCCAACCCTCACCCAGCCCCAGTTCAGCCCCAGGGTTGTGGGGGTGGGGAGCATGCTTTAGCCGGCTGGGCTCTCATGCTTCATGGGCCTGTTTTCGGAGGAAGCGAGGGGGCAGCACCAGCACATGGGCAGCACCCATGGGCCCTGCAGCTGGGAAGGAGCACCCAGGCCAGCCAGGCAGGCAGCACCCCACAGCCAGCTGTGCAAGGGGGGGGGGGCTACATTGCATGCATGCATGTGCATGGGTGCATGCATGCCACTAGGCAGCTGCAGCTCGTGGCCGGTCGCCACGCTGGCATCAAGGGCCGAGCAGCGGCGTGGAGGCTGGTCACTGGGCTATGACCCAGAGAACACTGTCCCACCCTGCAGCGGGCGTGGGTGGATACGCCAGCCGTGCCCCAGGTTGGCTGTGCTGCGCTCCCACACTCAGGCTCCAGCTGAAGAGCTGCTCCTGAGATGCTTCACCCTGCGCTGAGCACAGCAAGGGCACGTGTCCCACGCGGCGGCCAAGAGCTCTGTTTACATGTTCCTTACATAGCCCCATGTGCTACTAATAAAGAGCCTGAGCCACGCCGGCATGGAAACACTCTCCCCTTTACCGCGCACGCCATCCTGCAGCCTGCCTGATGTGCCCAGCATGGTGCACACATGAGATAGGTGTTTACCCACTCCCCATCTTGCCAGGGTCCTGCCGAGGGCTTCAGCCCTGCCTGGTGCTGGCACGAGTGCCACAGGGCTGGCCCTGGGCTCCTCCAGTCCCGCCCCCCTAGGACGGAGCTACATGGAGCACTGGGGACCTGCAGAAATGCCCCGTCCGGGGCCGAGGTGCGTGGCCCGGCTGGAGAGACAGGGCCTCTGTGCTGTGCAGAAGATGCGGCTCTCGCCCAAGCTGAGGTTCTTGGTTGGATGCAGAAATCACCTGGGGGAGACCTGCCTACCCCTTGTCTGGCTGCAGCTCAGGTCAAGAGACCCACAGTGGTCTCTGCTCGTCTCTGAATCTCCCCCACTGGACCCCCACTGCCAGACATAACCGTGGAGATCCTCAAGAAGCCAGCTGGAAAGGTCCAAAACCCTGCCTGAGGCAGGACCAGCCCGATCCAAACCACCCCAAATACCTCCATCATCTAAACTCTTCATAAAACTACTATCGAGCCCAGTACAGCACCAGACATAACACTTGAACCTGCCCCAGGGAAAGCAGGGGGGCTGAGACCGCCAATGTCCTGCAGTTGCAACGGGGGTTCAGAGACGCTCCAGAGATCCCAGGCAGAGGCCATGGCCCCGCTGCAGAAAAAGGCAAACCCCTGCCAGTCTGTACCAATCTGACCAGGGGAGAAAATTTCTTCCTGATCCCAAATCTGGAGTCATTCTGGCCCTGAGTGCAGGTGCAAGACCCTCTGGCCAGGACCCTGCGGGGTTGGTGTCAGCAGGAGCATTGGCACCAGCAGGAGCACTGGCACAGCCCTGTCCCACCCCAGCCTGGGCTGCAGCAGCGCCAGCACCTCTGAGGGAGGCTTCAAACACAGACAGACAGACCGACACTGGCGGTGGTGTCTCTCAGCTTTGCCAGATGCTTCCTTGTGCCCTCCCTGCAGAGCCAGTGTCCTGCCCTGAGCCTGCTCTGCCAGCTGTGGCGTGACCGTGTGATCATGCAGCTCCTTAAGCAGCTGAGTCCATGGGTGCATGGGTTAGCAGTGGGCACCTCTCCCTGACTGGCCGTACCAGGCACCTTTCCCTACAGAAAGGTCTCTGCTGAGCTGGGTCCCTGCAGCCATGTCACCCCTGCTCTGTGGTGAGATGCTCGTTGCGGGTCTCCCTGATGGCCCCTTCCTGCAGAACACGGTGCACCGCCTGAGACGCTTTGTCTTTCAGCTGCAAGGGGGTGAGATATCTCCAAGCTGCAGGGACCAGCTCTCTTGGGGGCATCATTACAGAGGACCTTCCAGCCAGGCCTCAAGAATGCAGCCACAGCTCCAGCGCTGAGCAAAAGGGGTCCCTCTCTGTGCACCTCCCATTAGGAATGAGGGGACATGTGGATGTACCCCGGACACCCCGCTGCAAGTACTAGGCTTGCACGAGATGAGAGGGATTAAGAAGGTATCCCTGCATGGGTCCAGTTTCCCCCTGGAAAGCTGGTCTGTGCCCTGGGTGCTGCCCTGGCTGCCTGGAGCCTGCCTGAAGCTTGGGGCATTCAGGAGGGCCTAGCCATGTGGCTGATGGCTCCCTGGGCAGCATGGTGGGGGCCGGGGGTCAGCAGTTTAGCCAGCCCTGCAAAGCGGCTCTCGGCACAGCTGCACCTCGTCTGCAGGAGCCTCGCAGGCAGCGCCCGCTCTGCTCAGTGATTAATCTTTTGTCACCGAAGACCGGGGGAAAGCAGCGATTAATAAGCCCCCAGCTTAGACAGAACCCCCACTCTCCTGGCCCTACCCGTAAACACGGCCCTTTTACTAACTGTGACTGGACACGAGGAGCAGCCCCAGTGTTATTGTAAGGCCTGTCTCGCCGAGGGGCCGTGGGGCAGCATGCTGGTGGGGCCGGTGGGCCGTGGGGAGTCGGGGTCAGCCCCGCTTGACGAGGAAAGATCGCCAGCGGGGGGGGGGACGTTTGTTTTTGTAGCGGGTGGATGCATCCCGGGAAGGGCTGGGAACGTCTGCTGTCACTCGGGGGCCGGAGGGAGGGCTGCCAGGGCAGGGATAAAATGCCTGACAAGTTTGGACTAGCCAGCGAGTTGATTAGCTGAGAGATGAAAATTCACAACTCTGCTCTTGAAGGGGCTGCGAGCTGCTGGAGATGTGTTTATGTGAGGGGAAGGCATCCGGGTGTGCACATACACACGCGCGCACACACACACGCGCGTATGCCTGCACACACATGCGCACACACGCACGCACGCACACATGTGCACGCACCTGAGACAGTTTGGCCCCTGGCTTTCCCTCTCCCCCCGAGGTTGGACACCCTCTGTGAGCAAAGGGCTTTCTCCCCACAGGGAAGAACACAGACTCTCTGGGGCCTGGACTGTGCCCCCAGCACTATTTGTACATCTCCCTGCATGTGGCTGGAGCGTGTGGGTGCCGCTGCAATTCGGATGTGAGCAGCCACAACGATCCACCCCTGCCTGATGGGGTAAGGAAGCTTCCCCCGTGGCACGACGGCAAGGTTTCTCATACCAGACCTGGAGCTGATCCTCCAACACTGCACGTGTGCTGGTGTCTGGACGCCCCCCTCAGCTCTCACGCATGTCCGGCCGCAGCAGGGGAGAAATACACCCCGATCAGGAAGGTGCCCAGCAAATGCAATGGCCAGAACCCCTTTACACCTATCTTACAGTACACGGGGGGCTTCAGGAAAGTCAGATGGCAGTTCCCCCTCAACCCGCTGGCTCCTTTGCACTCCAGAGCAGTGCAGAGCAATGGGCACGCATGTGAAAACCCAGCCCATCCCGCCTGGATGCTTTTATTCCACCTTCACTCTGTGCAGGGATAAATGAATGGGGCCTGAGTACAGCTTAGGGGCCAAGGAGTTGTTAGAAGCTGGGGGGTAGCAGGCGGCACAGACAATGGGTGTCTTATGCCCCTGCCCCCCAAAATCAGTGCCCAGAGTCCAGCTCCCTCTCTCAGCTGGGCTCAGGTTTCAGAGCCAGCTCTTGCCCTCGGTGCCCATCAAAAACAAGCCCTGAGGGAGCATATTGTACCTTGAGAACCGGGTCTTCTTCTCACATGCAGCTCCACTTTGGCCCTCGTCGGCTGATAGCCCCCATCGGTTGCTGTTTTTGATGGCGCAGGTCACCTAATGATAGACAGCGATAAATGCATACAGCTGGAGGCAGAATAAATTGATGCTACAAGTTATGTAATTGCCTTGAAAATAAGGTAATGATTTGGCTCTTGGAATGCTTTGATGTGCTCTGAAAGGCAAGGAATACACTAATGGCTTTAATTAGACGTGGGGGATGAAATGAATTCAGCCTCTTGGGTGAGCTCTGTTATGGACCTGACCAGTGGTTTAATCAGATGCAATCTTTTTAATACCCACAAAATTGTCTGTGTGAGGGGGGAGAGGGGCAGAGCGAGATTGCATGTGTATCCTAGGTAGGTAAGTATGTGCAGGCACTCATTGCATGGGGCTTTGCTAATCTACCCGACCTTGGGGCAGGGTGTACACAGAGAGTCACTGCAATGGAGGCTTTAAAATGCCAGTGTGCCAGTGGCCACCCAAGGGAAACGCTATCCCAGTAACGTGCCTTTCCAGCCTGAGATTGCCAGCCCCCCTGGGACTTCTAACCCACTACACACCCTGCACCACAGCTCAGCAAATGCTAAAAAAGCATCCCTCCTTGAGCTGGGATGGCCTGCTCCAGATAGGTCAGCCACCGCAGGTGGAACAGAGCTTTCCATAGGATGTTGAGCCTAAAGATGCCCCAGGAAAGCTCCCTGAGACTGGGACCCACGGCCCTATGAGATATCAGGCTACATGAGCTCAGCCTCAAGCTGGAGATTCCAGCTAAATGCAGGGCCACAGCCCTGCCGAATAGCCAGAAAGCACTGGCCTGCCACCTCTCCCCCTCTCCGCTGCCCTCGCTGAGATCACCACCATTTCTCTTCCTTCTCCTCCTTTCCTGATGGTGCCTTGTGGGGGGACAACACTGGCCCAGCGCAACAAACACAGCTGGGAGCTCAAGAGAGGACCTACTCTCTTCTCTTAGCTCAGGGCAGATAAAGGAGGTCCCTGATGGGAGGTAAGTCACGGGGAAAGCCAGCCCCATGGACACAGACAGCACAAGGCTGAAACCCTGTTCTAAGTCCCAGGGCAGCGGACAGCGCTGGGGAAGGCACCTGCCCGAAATTTCTCTCTGCAGGCAGAGGATGCAGCTGTCCTAAAGGCAGGAATGAAAAGCCAACCCGTTCTGCAGCCGCCTCCCTACACATGCCATTCACTCGACTCGTCACCAACCATCCTCGGCGTCTGCTGCAGGACAGCAGCAGCTGAAGGAGCATTTGGTATGAAGCAAACCTGCACTATGAGGTCCGGTGGCAATTTTGCACTCGGCTGCCAACAGGTCCTGAAGCCCGTTGCTGGATCCCCTGTCCTTAGCCCTCCTATTGCAACAGCCACCACTCGCTTTGCTGATGTCTGTTCCGGACATTTCACTCGCTGAAAGCTCGGCGCTGAGAAACACACACGCACGTGCGGCGTAACATAATCTCTTAAAAGCAAAATCCTAGAAATTCTTCTTGGTTTTTTTTTGTTTCTGGAAAAGAGATGCCCAGAGGAGAAACTAATAATGAAGGATGAAAGCTTAATCCTTGAAGTAGAACAGGACTTCACAGGGAAGGAAAAAAAGTATAAACACGGCAGTTGTTGCTTAGTGAGTTCGGGGAGAAAAAGCCCGAGGGATAAAAATTCCAGCATGGAAGAGCTGAAAAGGTTACGATGATAGATTCTAATGATTTGGTGAAAAGTGATTTAAGGTACTCTCCTTTCTCCAAAGAGCTCCAAACTGATAATTGAAATGTTAACGGGTACGAGCAGCAGAGCAAAAGCGAACGCTGAGTGTTATCTTGGCAATTCTAGACTGAGCACAGATAAATCCTCTTGGGCTTTGATAGGTGAATTATAAGGAAAAATAAATTGAGCTCAGTATCTGTGTAATCCACCGGAGAATGCATGCTCAGATGATGAGGTATGTGCAGCAGCAACGCTGGAAAGGTTGCAATCGTTAATAGAGATCATATTTTGGCCATTCTAAAAGAAAATACCTATGTCTTTGTTGATTTATTTGTCATGTCTCTCGTGCCATAAATATGGATTTTAACGGGCTCTGGTGGAAGGTCCGTGTTTTGGTGTGGGGCCTGGCAGGCAGGCAGAAAGGCAGAGACCTCGCTGAGAACAGAAATGACGTTTCAGGGAAGCAGACGTGCTTTTGCAAGAATGCCTCCCAGCGTGGAACGAACCCACAGTGGAAAAGGCAAGAGCCCGTATCACCGAGCCCACAAAGACACAGGAACCCATCAGCCCGGGCTGTCGCCCAACCTGGGTACACAGATATTCTGGCGACCTGGGCTATTGCTGGGGCCCTGTAATGACTGAATTGATCCCATCCATAGAGTTTACGTCCTATTTTTGAACGCTCTGGGGGGGGGACTTAATTGGTGCATGACCCTTGCACTGGTGCCTTGCTTTTGCCTGCGGTGAATTCTAAATTCATCAACGCAAGCGTGCACGGGGCAGTAAGTCAGGGAAGGAGAAGCGTGCATTACACACGTGGTCTGGGCACCCAGGCAGAACTAGCCAACCCATCTCAAATGCTGCATCAAGCCCATCAAACACTGCATGCCGACCATGCTCAGCAAACAGCGGATAGACCGCAAAACACTCAGAGAAGGCAGGCTGTGCTGAGAGAGTGAATACATGCAGCTCACGCACGAGCGGTGCCTTGGCACATGAGCTCTGAACACTGCATCTCACACCGTGCCTTTGTATCAGCCTCCCAAGTCCAGGTCCTGCACAAGCCTGGACCTCAGACATGAAAAAAACCCATGAATTTGGAATGGATGTGAGTAGCCTGAACCTGCTTTCGTGGTTACATGCATGCAATAAATTGCACACACAGGTATGTGTGTACAGCAGTTTCTCACACAGTCTTTGGCAGACAGGTACTCAGGTAACACCAGCAGAATCCACACTAATGAGCCTCCTCTGGTGCTCTCTCTCTCTTACTGATATCAGAGTGAATTTGGATTGAGACCCCGGAAAGCCCTGCAGACTGTTCTCTTGGTGATGGTCCCTACAGGTGGGGCGGGGGGAGATAGGGCCACTTGGTAAAGCCAGTGCTGGAGCCATACTTGATGCATAGCCCTTTGAAATCAGTGAAAACCTTCCCACCCATTGCACTTGGCTTCTGGATCAGGCCCCACACGGCTAGTCGGTCTCCAGGGCTGTCGCTCAAACACTTTCCATGAGCGCTCAAGATTCACTTCAGATAAAATAGAGACAGTGACCCAGAAAAATCAGGAGGAAAAAAGAGTGTTTAAAGCGATGGCTGCCGAGAAAAGAAATCTAGGGAAGAAAGAGGCTTCTTGACACACCGCTGCCACCCTCTCTCCTAATCACCACTCAAACCGTTCTTCTTCAAAGCTGGCCGGCATCTGCTTAAGTCAAATGTAGACCCCAGCAACAAAGCGGTTCCAGGATAATCAAAACGCTCTGCAGGTGGGCAACATAAAACACACGATATTACACTGCCATGGAGGAGCAATAAAACACGGAGAGCAAAAGTGCAGAATGAGAAGCCTGGCACGGCGGTGCCTTTTCATGGCAAAAGCGCGCGGGGGAACAATGCACCTGGGCTGCAGGAGCTCTCACGCGGGGCAGCACAGAAAGAGCACAGGAGGGAAGGGAGGGACAGGACTGTGCTGTGTTGCACAAATGGATTCAGACAGTGCCAGGGTGAAAAGCTCAGTCCTAGCTCGGGCATGAGGAAGGCAGGGGAACACGCTAGGCTGCAGCGTGCACCAGGGCAGCCTGCCTCATCATAACCAACCGCAGAGAGTTGCTCCTCATTCACACTAGCCAAGGGGAGATCACGGTTGAGCCCTGTTGTCACCTACAGCTCTCCCAAGCAAGAAAAGCTCAGTATTCAACTGGGGATTTGAGTCAGGAAGCATCGGGGTCAGACTCTACTTCCATTTAGCCCAGCAAAACCAAAGGCCTTGCAGACAGAGGTGCACACAGTGCCACGCAAGACACGGTGCACCTAGCAAGAGCTGCCTGGGACTGAGTTATGTTTCTTTCCAGCTCATGGGAAATCCACACTTTCCATTTTATTTCCACTCGGATGTGGAATGAAAACAAAACATTCGGACTTCTCCCATGCAACGATGTTGGGAGGTAAAGAAACCATTTTCATTTAAGCAGCATTACAACACTGGGCTCTGAGTCGGATTGTTTTTTCTCTCTCAGATTAGGCTCTATGATCTCTTACAAAAACCAACATGAAAAATCACTCGTGAAATGAAAAATCAAACTGGTTTGTACCAAAAAGGCTGTGATGCTCACCGCTCCCCCCCCCCCC